ATCACAAGTTATCCATGGTGGAGCACCCCATGTGGTTCAAATTAAGAACAAGCGCCAAACCCCGCCCTCCGCTTTTCTCCTTTTTGAACGAGCTTAATGCCCTTATCGTGACAGAATAGATCATTTGGAAGGTGGTTGTCTATTATTACTGTTGAGTTTCCTAGGGTTTGTAAGATACCTTTGGTCAGCTGTTAGTTAAGATTGCCCGTTGGACAAAAGCCACGGAAAGTATGTTGGGTAAATATTAAGACTCTTTCCATCAAAGAGGTGGAGTATGAGCGGCATCTCTTAAACTGAATAACAGCGGCCCCATTTGTCGGAGACTCGCCTATCAGAACGAGTTGGCCGTCGTGAGGTTTTATTACTAAATTATCTTGTAAGTCGGGGCGTTTACCTCGTCGTGCCCCGACACCCTTCAGATTGCAGCCAGCAGATGTCAGCACCCAGGAAATGAATTATGTATTGCCCGCATTTTAAAATCGCCTCATTGTCGATTTATAAGGTAACATAACCTTCTGCCGTGTGCCTGAATCATTCTAGACCTATTGATTTAGATAGTTAATTATATGGAACTAGATATAAAACACAATCATGATTTCCCCGGCAAACCATTGAATTGTTCTAATCCGCAGATTGCTAGCATGTGCGTGCGAGACAAGCTCTTGGATACGACTTATATACTGACTGAAAGGTAAGTATGTACACATGACTTCATCGTGTTATGTCAGTGCAGTTTATATGTTATCTGAGAAAAAATTCCAACTAAACATAATATGACTGTTCCGAGGTCAGTGCAGATTATTTTACACGCGTTTGACTCTTCAACTTGGACAAACAGAGACGAGAGGGATGATGTCCTGTTAGTGCTGTCTCTATCTTTCGTGCACAGTTTGGCTAACCAGACTGGGTCGTTTGGCTGACCTTGAAATTTATCAAAATTACTTACAAATAGTGTGGTGAAACATTCGTGGCGCAACTAATCCTTAAATATCTTTTTAATCGGTGAATCAATGTGTCCCATACCAGTTGCGTCGCGTGGCTTGCAGACAAAGTGGTGCATAATTGGAAAGTGAGCAAATGAGCAATAGACTTAGTAGCTACTATTAAGATTTTTAGAGAAAGTCAATTATAATCTGCAGGATATCCCGTAATCTAGATCTACATATATCCATATTTACAACTGTTTCTAGATGAAACTGCATAAAAGCTGCAATAAAGTGAAACAATACTAACAACTCACTATTCTCACAATCTGAAAAGATTTAAAGATTTCTAATTAATTTGTGCAGCGCCAACAACCAGACTCAATCAAAATTTGAAGATTTACCTTAACAGGACTTTCTACACAATAGAGGGAGACAACAGTTTCGATACCCATTCTTCATTGAGTTACCGTAGACTCTACTAGTGTAGTAGATAGGCTCGCGGAAACTTGGATCAAATTTTTAGCTTTCACCGAATTGGTGCTGCGAAGAGCTATTTCATGCACCTTTCTTCTTGTGCGAGAAGAACGATGCCTAGATTTCTCTACAGTGACAAAAATAACTTTGGTGCAAAGATTTTGCTTGCTCCCAGCATGCTAGCAGACACTACCACAAGCGGTACGACGAGCATAAATCATCCTCGCCGTCTGTCTCTTCACTGGCGCAGCCAGCGGGTGACGGATCGCAAGGATGGTACTAGACCTATATATTATAATTATGTAGATCTAGAGCACTGACTGGTTTAGAACAATTAGAAAAAGGGGAGGGGGGGGGGGAGTGAAGGCCAGGGTTAGGTGGAGCGCTTGCATCAATTGCACAAATGACGCACCGCCACTGACCCATACTTTGTACAGCAGTTTGTATCAATTTGTCATAACTTAATCATAATTTTTTCCCACAACAATTGTCGCTAAAACAATTCTCTTCATAATGATTATACTACAAATCTCCGTCGCGTGGAAAACGAAAGTAGTCATAGCAGTTCCCGCTTCTCGCACACATTTTGCTTACGTATGTGGCCTACGTCACAGCTCACCAATGACACTGGTAAAACTTTGGCCCACGCATAATTACGATCTCCTGAAAGATGACAAGTGAAATTGCAAAGGATTTCTGCAACAACTTTTTATGTATTAGGATATAATTGACGAGTAAAATGAGTAAAGAATAACGCACCCACTCCTATTCAGTAGAGATGTGCTGGTGACAGTGTGTTTTGGTTTGGACAATAATATACTTTCATCGTCTATGGTTGCAGAAACAAAGTAAATAGTACATTTTTTTCCGTACCATTAATTGCACTATAGGTTATCAAAATATACATCCCAGGAGCATAGTGTCGCGATTAGAAGAAGTAGGATGGACTTGCTTTTAAAAGTGCTATTTTCCTTTAAAACCTGTAGAAACCATCGACTGAGATTTTTTAAATTACTCTTTGTTATGGGATTTTCTATCATACAGCGCCGGATGGTTTAAAAAGTATTCATCTGTTAAGACAAATTGATATAAATAATTATTTTAAAAAGTTGGAGAGTGTATGTTCTGTAGTTGGGGAGATATTTGGCAATAAGTCGCTCCACGAATTTTTATCCGCACTCTAAATGCAACGTAAAGGGCATAAATAATCTTTGTTCCTTCACAAAACGCTGCTTCTGTTTGGGAACGACTCGCACACCACAAGTTAAGTAGTGCTAATATTGCTAATAATGATTTCACCCTATGTCCGCACTTACTCTTTCTTCTACTTCTATCCAGCCTTCTCTCGGCGAAATCAGTCCACCAAGAGTCTATTGGTAACGAGGAGCAAACCTGAAACCCACCAGGATACGCCTGTCTTGAATGGCTGTAAGAAACAAAATGAAAAAAAAACAAAACACAATGCATTATGAAAACAGCAAAACAAATAAATACCCATACACTTAGTCTGTCCATTTTATTTTCTATTACATTCTTTGTTTCGATTAAGTTTGCAGATGACTCCGCTATTATTGGATTAATAAACCTTGATGAAAAAGAGTATTTCGAAGAAATATGTAGGTTTTTTAAATGGCGCAACTCAAATGTTCTAAAAGTGAACCTCTCAAAAACAAAGGAAAGGATTTTTGATTTTAGAAGAGAAAAACCAACAATCCCACCAACCGTAATTGAACAAAAAACTATTGAAATCACGGATTCATACAAATATCTTGGCCTTACAATGGACAAAAAATTTACATGGCAAAACCACGTAAACAATATAGTTAAAAAGGTAAATCAGAGGCTCTACTTTCTGAGGAAACTAAAGTCTTTCAATCTGAATCCATCCATCCTTCCGATTTTCTACACCACCACAATAGAAACTTTGATAAATTTTGGTATCACTTGCTATGGTAGCAATCTAGGAAGGCAGCACATTATAAAAATAAACACGTTGATAAGAAAGGCATCAAGAACAATTGGTAGAGATCTAAGTAACTTTGAATATCTGCACAAGACAAACGTTCTAAAAAAGACGGAAATAATGCTTAGTGACCATAGCCACCAACTGACATCGGAATTTCAACTATCGACCAGCAGTAAACGATACATTTCCAAAAAGCCAGAACAGACAGATATAGAAATTCATTCGTACCAACTGCACTGAGGTTATTGAACACACAGTGCTACAAATGAAACAGAGAGAGATGAGATAGAGAGAGAGATAGAGAGAGAGAGAGAGAGAGAGAGAGAGAGAGAGTTTTACGGAGCGGGTTGTCCCAGCACATGAGATATGTATTTACTTGACCTAATGTCCTGTCTTGTTGTGCGTTTGCGTGAGTGCACCTTTAAGTCTAACTTTTGTAACGTCTACTGCCATTGTTAACGACCAAGACAAATTTCGCTCTGCGAGATGAATAAAGATTGTCATTATCATTGTTATTGTCATTTGTTTTTCTTAAAGGGGCAGCAACACTGAGAGACGTAAATCTAACACAAGGACTTTCGACCTTGAAAAATTACATGATTTGCACACGGCAATGAATGCACTTTGCTTGCATTCGAACGATATTCGAGTTTAGATTATAATTGTTAATACTATGGGGCGGTTAAAGCAAACTTGAAGGTAGGAACAGCCGCTGTGACCGACCTTGTGCATAAAGACCTTACAATAGCGCACGTGGTCAGGGTGGAGAGGAGAGATGGAGGGAAGGAAGGATGGAAAGGAGGAGGGGGGATGGAGGGGAGGTGTATACATTGCGATAACATTGAAACGTATTTTTGTTAGGCGAAATTTTTGCGTTCCTCTTTATCAGTGAAATCTTTCGTTGCAATACCACATTCATCCGCCTGGCTAGGGCGAAGGGGAGAAAGGGTGGAGGAGAGGGAGGCAGGAGGGAAAGAGCGGTGATGTGTACATTATGATAACTTCGATAACTATTTTGTTATGCGAAATTACGCTAAATCTGGAAAATCTTTCGTTGCAATTCCACATTACTCGATCAAACGAGACGATAACTCTTTCCTGCTGTCGAGTTCAGAAACAAACATGCACGCGCGCACGCACTCTCTCTCTCTCTCTCTCTCTCTCTCTCTCTCTCTCACACACACACACACACACACACACACATACACACAGACACACGTACAAACAAACACACACACACACACAAACACACACACACGCATGCTTGCATGCACGCACATACACATACGCACACACATACGCATGCACAAACATACATACGCAAGCGCACTCACACAAAAAGGAATTTGCCTTTTTCGAAGGTCATCTATTATTCTGATATGAGTTAATGTTAAAGAAACGATCTAAATGCCGTGTCAGATTTTGCAATTAGTGTAAGGTTTCTCTTTTCTGAGCCAATTAATGTAAATGCTTTATGATATGGAAGATTGTATAGTGTTTTATGATCTTTAGCCTTGCACAGTTGGCAATAATTTTGCTTTTCTTATCGTAAGTTGCATACTTATCTTTGGCGGTCCAACAACATCAAAGGGTGTACTTTGATTCAGAGTGGAGTTTGTCAGTAGCTTCGGAAGACAGATCTTTCTATTCACACAGAAGCACAAGCATTCGAGAAATCAACTCGACAGATTGTACTTACAAAGGACAGATTGGTGATAGATGTACGAATATTAAAGAAGTTGAACTCCCTAACACCAGCATATTAATCGAAAAATTACGATGTAAAAGGAAGAAATGTTAAAACTGAAATGTATAACCCTTTTTTTTTTAGCAGATTCTTCCTTTGCCAACTTAACCTTTCATTTACATGCACCTCAAAACTTTGGGTTCTCCAAAACTTTGCCAACCCTAACATCATGCACTTTTTCAAAACCTCTTTCTTAAACCTCCGGCTAACAAAACTTCTTATACTCCCTTCGAGACTATTTGATTCTCATTAATTCTATAAATGAGCATTGGGAAATCGTTGAGGTATCATTTCCAGATTATGACATGGAGACCAGCTTCTCTTGAAATATTGGAAGCCATTTCATAATCATTTAATAATATTCGGAGTTCTCTTCATTGCTCTGTGTTGCTACACTCGGCTCATTCTAGAATCTTAACAGTCATTTCAACTGCTTGTTTCCTTTATTCATCTGCAAACTAATTTATTCCTATGTTACCACCTACTTGGTTTAGACGTGTTGTGATAGCATTTATTTTACAACCCATTTCTTTGTCAAGTTTTTTAAGTTCTTGGGATTTTCTGCTTCCCGATATGCC